CGCTCACACCTCCCTCCCCCAAAGCCAGAGGCAGAGCTAGTGCCCTCCCCTCCCCTCCCCCACCCCCGTTAGTGATGGGTAAGACAGTTGGTTCCCCCTCCCGGGAGGCTTTTTGATTAATTTGTAGTTATTTCTCCATTAGATGACTGGCCTGAGAGGGAAATGACAAACAGTTCCTCTAACCACTTAGAAGACCCACATTATAATGAGCTGACCAACCTGAAGGTGTGCATTGAATTAACAGGGCTGCATCCTAAAAAGCAACGCCACTTGCTGCACCTTAGAGAACAGTGGGAGCAGCAGGTGTCGGCAGCAGACAGCAAACCTGGCCGGCAGGGCAGGAAGGAAGTGACCCAGGCCAGTCAGCCTGAGGCCACAGCCCAGGGCAATAGCCTCTCCGAAGAGAAGCCTGGCAGGAAAAGGGCAGAGACCAGAGGCAACAGAAGCTGGGCGGAAGAGGCCCTCAAGTGCAGTGACAATGAGCAAGGTAAGCGGAGGCCCCCCTGGGGGTGGGAAAGGGCCCTCGAGGGGGACCTGAGCCACGTAGGTGGCGGCAGGCGGGGAGTTCTTCCATGATGCCCTTCCAGCCCCCGTGCTTCCTTCTGGAATGTACAGTGAGGAGCACAGCTGAGAGGTGGCAGCTGGACCTCCTGGGTTGCTCCTCGCCGGGGAGTCTGGGTGACCCCCGGGCACTCACTCAGCCGCGGGCGTGTCTGGCCGCTGGGTCCTCGGCACCCAGACTGGCCCTGCTCGGGCAGGTTGTAGGCTCCCAGACCCCGTGGGTGGGAGGCAGAGCGCCCCTGGAGAAACCCACCACAGCGCTTTGTGGGTTAACCTATTTGACGTCTGGATGTGGGCTAATTAAAACATTAACGCCCTGAAAACGGAATTGGTATATCTTTAAGATCTCCTGAGGCCGCTCTGGGGGGGGGGGGCGGGGGGGGCGCCGACAATGGGCCATTCTCCGCTCCGGCTGCAGCTCCCTAACGCCTCTCCCCCTCTCGCCCTCCGCGTGCAGGTCTGCCTGTGTTCGCCGCCTCTCCGCCCATGAAGGGCCTTTCATCCCCCAATGCGAGCGGCAAAAAGCAGACTCAGCCAAGCTGCACGCCAGCCTCGAGGCCGCCTGCCAAACATCCGAAAATTAAAGAAAACCCGAAGACAGATGTGCTGTGCACGGACGAGGAGGAGGACTGCCAGGCCGCGCTGCTGCAGAAATACACCGACGGCGAGAAGCCATCCGGGAAGAGGCTGTGCAAGACCAAGCACCTGATCCCGCAGGAGCCGCGGCGCCTGCCGCTGCCCGGGGACTACTACGTGGACAACGCTGACGGCAAGGTACGTCCGCCCCTCGCCGGTCCCTGGGCCTGGGGGACACCTGCTGCTGGGCACCAGGCTTTCCTTTGCCTGGACTCCGTTCCCAGGGTCACTCCCCCATCGTGGGAGCATGGCTCCTGGGTGGTAGTGAAGTTTCAAAGTAGCGAGAATGGAATCCCTGCCCCCAGCACCCCTCCCCGCAACAAAAGCAGGGAAATTGCCCGCCTCCACTCGGGCGTTTACCACCCAGGGAAGAGGCCGGGGAGGCTGCCGGCCTCACGCGTGTGCGCTGCCCGCCTCTGTGACAGGTGACCGTCAGGAGAGTCCGAAAGCGGCCCGAGTCCAGCTCCGACTACGATCTGTCCCCGGCCAAGCAGGACCAGAAGCCCTTTGACCGTTTGCAGCAACTGCTACCCGCGTCGCAGTCCTCCCAGCTGCCCCGCTCCAGCTCCCCACCCGAGGCCACGCAGTCGCGCCCCATGCCCCCCGAGGCACGGAGGCTGATTGTCAACAAGAACGCAGGCGAGACCCTCCTGCAGCGC